TTTACAAGATTGTACCTGAGAACTATTTGTTTGCTAAAGTAGTGAAGTATGTTGGTGATCGTAAACAACTTACTGAAGAAAAATTAGAGGGTCTTGAAGAGATCGTAATGGATGCAGGGAAAGCAGCAGCAATCTTGAGTGCTGCCAAATCATCGATGGGTAATGATTAGATTAGACATAATTGATATTCTATGGTTAAATTATTCCCTTTATCAGGTATGGATATTTCTCCGGTTGATCTAACAAATGTATTGATGTTTACCAATCGCGTCATATCATTGTCCGAGTACAGAAAAAGTCTATCAGAATATTTAAAAAACAAAATGGGGACTGTTGCACCTAACATGGCCGCTCTAATTGGTGAACAAGTTGGAGCTAGACTTATTTCCAAAGCTGGTTCGCTGACAAATTTAGCTAAATGTCCTGCATCTACCGTTCAAATTTTGGGTGCAGAAAAAGCCCTTTTTAGGTATTTATTTTAAACCTTATAACTCATTGTTATTTCATTTTGATAATTTATTCTTGTAGAGCAATGAAGACCAAAACTAGTACTCCAAAATATGGTCTCATATATCATTCAACATTTATTGGCCGTGCCGGCAGGCAGTTTAAAGGACGGGCATCTCGTTTTCTTTCAAACAAATTAAGCATTGCTAGCCGAATTGATGCCTTTTCTGGTATTTATTTTAATTCTTTTCTTTATTTGAATTTCCTTAAAAAATAATTTTATGAATATGTTCCATATTGCAGATAATCCATGTAATATTTTTGGTCAGAAAATGAAAGAACAATGTGAAGATAGACTTAAATATTTTGAGACAGGTGAAAAACCTCCCAAAAATGTTGATGTTATGCATGATGCGCTCCAAGAATCACTTGTCTTGCAACAACAACAGGTATTTTGTATATTCAAAATTTACCAACTTATGAATCTTTCATGTTTGTTATTGTTTTCAGAATGAAAGTCTGAATACAAGTGTCAAGCGAAAGAAAACTAAGAAAGAAAAAAAATCAAAAAAGTCTAAGGGTGCAGAAAAAGAGAATGGGGAATAATTATTTTGTATTTTTAAAAACAACTTTTTTACTCTTTAAATAAAAGTTACTTTGACTAATAATTTGCTTTCAACTGTTAACTATCCACTATATCTATACATTTTTATAATGTTCTACTCTTACAATGAAAAGCCATACTTACACTTTTGACAATATAAAAATGAAAAAATAAATAATAGTTTTTGAAAATATTTACTGTTAATGTTGGTAAATATAATTTAAATGAGTTCAAAGCACAGAGTAAGAATTTAAAGTAAGTTGGTTCAAAGTAAGTCAACATAATAGTGATATTAAGTTGTTGTAAAATGTAGGTATTTAAATAAACATTTAACTGAGATACTGATGTTAAGAATAATAGTAATGAGTACTACTGATAAAAGATTAAAATATATTATGAAAAACTCTTGTAACACTTATTGTTAATTAACAGTAGAAACATGATTTTTCTTCATAATACTAGACATGTGTTCATCGCTAGTTAATTCTGAATTATTTTATTGGATACTTTTTTTTTTAATAAACTTCATTTTTATCATATGTTACAAAAATATGCACATTTTAAAATCTTAATTAAAATTAAAAACTTAAAATGTTTCGTATGATCTACTGGCATTTCTTTGCTGTATTAAAAATTTTTTTTCAAAATCATACTTTGACGAACTTATATTTTGTCGAAACAATAAGTTGTAAAATTTGTTTAGTGAATGTATAGTTATTGAGTTATTGACATTCAGGCATCCAGCAACAGAGAGTAGGTTTATATAGAAAACCTCCGAAACGGTCTTTATTCAGATGTGAACAGAGCACCAGAGCATTTTCACGCCATTATGTTTTTAAAATTAATTATTTAGACAAAATATTTTACTGATCAAATTAGTGAAGTTTAATCGTTCAATAAAAACTAATAAACAAACTACATCATAGTAACCATTGTCTCGAGTTCAATAAAGAGTCACCTAATTCTAAATAACCGACACCTGTAGGTGACGAGATCACTATACATTACACGTTATCTGAGCATACATTTGTTTTGGTAGTATGTTACACACTTATAAGATCAATTCTGAAATACAACAAATGCCAGTGTTTCGTGCTCTTGAATAATAACCGTAATGATACTGAAACAAGAAGACGTGTTTTAAGGGGTAATGATTAGGCATTTAATTCAACATAAATATGGTCAAGAAAATTTCATAATGACCGTTAACAATATTAATGCATACATAACACAAACGCTAAGCTTAGTTGCTAGCCATTAGCGAACGTAAAGCACTCAAAATATTGATATCGTGCTAATACTTTTTTATGTGTATGATTTATTATTTATGAAAATAATTCATTTTGGCTAAAATTCAAACTTATAATAAAATTAACAGTTCAACTTCGGCAGTCTACCAATAGAGGTGAACATTGCAATATTAATTTTTCAGTACCAGCACAGTAATACTATACTAGAAATTAAACTTAAAGTAATGCATAATATTTTCAAACTTACTACTGTACCTAAAATTATAAATACTCCTATATGAACATAATATATATTGACGCGGTCCCGCGTAATAGCCGTTTGAATTTTCAATTTTTATCACAAATAAAACGTCCACCGGAAATTCAAATTAAATTTTTATGAGCATTTGAAATTTAAATTTTTACAACATTGGATTTTCACTGGATTTCACATTTAGCTATTTTCTTATTTTGGTGTAACTAAAACAAATGACCGCAGATACTTGAAATTTTCTATGAATACCTATATAGGCATTTTATATATTTTATAAAATTTTCAAAATATTTTGATTTGTTTTGAGCTGTTTACTGACATTTTAATTTTTCAACTTTTTTAGTTTTAGATTCTGAACGAAGTGATGAATGTATTGATTTTACAATGATGTGTGTTTTTTTTTTGTGTGTGTCTGTGTACAGCATAACTAATCGAAATAATGCTTCAATTTCAAACTTTGGTGGTGGTTTCCGATGTAAAAGTGAATATCCTTGGTACATTATGAAGGTCAAAAGTTGACATTTTCCAACAGTTTTCGAAAAAATCGAGAAAAACAAAAAAAAAAATGACAGAAAAAACGGGAATTTTTACGCAAAACCAGTTTTCGACCAAACGGTTTTCTTATATGGCTGTAATTCAAAAACTGATCACTGTAAATACTTGAAATTTTCACTAAATGTTTATGTTAGTATTATCTATATACAGTTTAATTTTCAAAATGTTTTGACTTTTTTTGAGTAACTTATAGACCACTGAAATTTTCATTTTTTTTTTTGAAGTGCCGGTAAAAAAATGTTGGACGACAAAAAAACTTGAAAATTTAATACAAGGTTCATTATGAGTTTTTCTTATTGTAGCTAAAAAAAATTAAAAATCGTTAGTCACAATTTTTTTTATAAACGTTTATAGTTCAAATTTTTATGAAATCTGTCGAAAACGAGAAAATTTGCAAGTAATTTCGTAGTTGAAAAATCATAAAAATTTTTGTGTTTATAACTAAGGATTAAAAATACAACACTAAGTTTTCCATTAATTTTCCTTCAAGTAGCTATAGAGAAAACTCGAAACATCATTATAGGAAAAATTTTAAGTGCGTTTGAATTTTAAATTTTTACGAAATAGCTAACGATAACGATTTATCCTCAAACGATTTTAAATATTTGTTATTATTCAAAAAGTACAAGTCGTATATACTTGAAAATTTCTCAAGTATGATATAAATGATATAATATCATTGGATTCAAATTTAATTCTATCCATTACAGTAACCCACTTCAGACTTCAGCCACTTGTAACCTACTGTACAGCAGAGCGACATCCACTTTCCCGCTTTTTTTTATTTATATATATATTATGTCTCGTCTCAGATAAGTGGCAATAAGTTAGCTTATAACTTGTAAGTATTAAGTGCTTTAACACACCTTTAAATAAATATATTGAATTGCAAGCTCTTAGTTATACGTTATACCTACATAATAGTGACAAGGTGACAGATTTCTTTTCTCATTATTACCATGAAAATATGTATCTTAAAAATCTTAATTATGGATATAACCACATGATGAAGTAACATTATGTTAGTTGAATATTTTTACTAAAAAAGTATAACCTGAATTTCAGCTATGTTTTTAATATCTATTATAATATGTTATATCCTAGTTTTATTTTTACAATCAAAGTTGGAAACATGATTATAGTAGCCTGAAGACCAGCGGTCCGCACTATGATTTTAGAAAGGGCCAAATGTAATTTTTGTAAATTAATTTTTTTTATTTTAATATTACATCTAGGGCTTTAGCCCCCGCCTCCCGAATAAATGTATCATGCTCTGCCTATGACCGTTGGGGGTAGACGTATATGTTTGTTCCATAGATTGTTTCTTAAATTTGGCTACTCGGTAAAAAATTGATTTGTCTACTCATTAAACAAACAAAGGTATATCATTGGAAATATTCAATAAAGTTTTACGAAAAAAAATCATATTTGTTTCAAGCCGATTACAATTTATTAATTTAAATATTATTAACAAGTACATATATAAACTGCAGCGACCGGATGCTGGGGAAATCTTCACAGAGATTTTATAGGTAGTAATAAAAAAATATAAGGGAGCTACAGCAGTCTAAAGCTCCTTTCCCTACCATCACCCAAAACAAAAAAAGCCGAACCCCACTGAATTCATATTTTGTGATTGTGGTGTTTACGATTCTTACTGTGATGTGGTATTCTAACCGCATGAACATTGAACGGCATGAACTATGTTAATCATAGTTTATTAATATTTAATAATAATCATAGTTCATGGTGGTTATACTTATACACYGTGCTATCTACTATATAGGTTAGCCTTACGAAAGCTGCGACCGGTAAAATGTTTTGTCGAGAGTCGCGTCAGCACTGGAAATTATTGATTTTCCGCAAAGCACGACGTATCAAATGTATTATTCTCTGTCTATGGGTATGGAATAATAATATTATGCAGGTACTGAAAACTGCGACGAAAATATATCGCAAATGATAATATTTTCCGCCTGTTTCGACAGTAAATTAATTCGGATCATCGCGGTTCTCTCGGCGRCTGGTGGCAAAGGGCGAGCTCTTATACCGGACTTGTGACACCGAAGGGTCAAACCGCAATTATCGTCAAAACGTTGTGAAAGACACCGTTTCGCTCCGCAGTGGGTACCAGGTACCTACACAAAATACTATTGTTTATTTATTTTTAAACGCAATTTGGCTTTTTTCAATGTAACAATAGCGAATAATTTAATAAATTAACATACACGCAACATATKTTATAGGTAAGGTAGGTACAATTAGACAACAAAAACGATGCCGGATCGCATGAACAATTATAATTGATTAATGTATGGTTTGATAAAATTTTATGGGCTGCAAAATCGTGCTATATTTATGGAACAATTTGCTCAGTATCAGTTGGTTACAGTTTTAGTAATTGTTCGTGCAACCCGGAATAATAAGTGTTATAACACTTATAACTTATATTTTATAAGATATAATAACTAATAAAAATTAAAATATTATAAGTTCTCAATATTTTTGATAGTGATTAACATATTGTATGGGAGATTAGGATATTTTGCGGCAATTTTAGGAAGTACTTGTTATTTTCGCCACCAATTA